CCAAAGTGTTGTCACGATTGGGGAGGATGGTGGGATGCGACAAGCGACGCGGAGTTAGGCTGGGGGGACAGGTGGCGGGGTCTTAGTCAGGGTTGGGTGGGCTAGATCTGGTTCTCCGCAAGATGCCAAACTTTCAGCAGCTTCAGGACTGGGGTTTGGGGGTGTGCACTGAGCGGAATCGCAAAAGCGGGGGGGACCTTGTCTTGAGCATTGTCCTTATTTGTACTGCGATGTCGTCGACTTGGTTAAAATGATCGCGCCTCTCTAGAGACGGGGGAGTGAGGTACGGGCCGGGGTTTGCCAGGCGACGGCAAAGGGGGAGTTCGCGATAAAAACAATAAGAAATGGGCAGTAACCTGAAATTCTTGTTTGGGGTTGGGCTGGGGAGGAGTGGCTACGTAGGACGTCGGCCCTGAAAAGGAGGAGCGGTATGATGCAGTCTTTTTGGACTTGGAGGACGTGAGGGGGCTAGGATGGCTGCGTGATGCAACACAGGAAGAACCAAGGCCACCAAGGACACCACACCGTGACCTCAACATGGAAAAGTGATGCCACACCCACTCTCGAGCCAGCCACGAACAGGCTCACAAACGAGCCGCAAAGAGGTCGCGAGTCTTGTGTGTTCCAGGTTTCGCTTTCGCTCTCCCAGGGCTCTGTCTGTCTTCACTCGAAGCTACCAGTGATACACCCATGCGTGTTGCGGTCATGTCTGTCGTAACTCGTAGCGCGGAAGAACCTGGCTAGACAGGATGAATCCAATGGTACGCTTTCCCCTCCATGGACCCGGCCTACCGTACCCCGCCACTTGGCCAGCGACACGGCTGCCCGACGAACCAAAGGCTGTCCAAGCCCAAGAAAGAGAAGGCTGACACCATTGACTGCACTGGGCTGATACATATCTCCAGGGCAGCGAAATACCGACCGAACGAATGCTTTCTCGAAGCCGTGTCACAGGAGGGGGGGCGGAGGGGGAAACAAATAACAAAAAAAAAAAAAAGGAACAAAAAAGAGGCCGAAATATAGGTATGCATGAAAGGAAGCGCAATGCACCTACCCGGGACCGTCTGTGGTAATGATGGGCTTCAACCCGTCCTTCTTCCTCTTGTTATTCGTATTGTTGCTGCTGTTTTTGTTCAGATTGCCGTTGGAGGCAGTCGCCGCGGGGGATGAAGCTACTTGAGCCGAGGTTTGCGCCGTATTGTCTTTGGCTTGTTGCGATCCGTTCATTGTTGGTATGTAGAAGGCAGGCTATCTATCGTACACGGGCCGGAGCGCGGTATGAAGACGAAGTCGTGATCGGTTGGTGGTGAGGAAATACAGCAGCTGGAGTGCGCGAACTTGCAAAAGTCGTTGTCGTTAATAGTGAAGACAGGAGAAGGAGAGGTTGATGGCTGTGGGGAAGGCCCAAAATGCGATGCGACGGCGGCAGTAGTGGAGTGCAAAAAGGTCTCAAAATCTCACTGCCCTGCCTCTGACAAGTCCCATGTTAGCTCCTGATGCCTTGGGGCATTGGGTCATCAAAACAGGTTCAGGTGACGAAACGCGACTGATTCGTCGCCCAGTAACATGGCATAGAAGGGTGCAACAAGTTGATGGGGCAACGGAGGAAGATCGAGGCCGCCGACTGTTGCCTGAGCTCGTTGTGTGTCGTGCGCATCGATATCCAAACTCAAGTGAAATCGCTGCGGCAATCGAGTGTGTTGTTTGCGCCAGTAAACGTTCGTCGCCGGTCCTTCATCTGATGCTCCCCCCTGGCTAGTAACGAAGATGCTGGATGCGTTTGGACGGATCGCGCAGTGGCGGATTTTCAGGCCAAGAAACGTGAAGCATCAAAAGCACGCCGCGCCTGTGATTGCAAATCCGCGCCATGCAATAACGATAGCTTATGACTAACCTGGAGAGATATGCCTGTGGTCTTCTTGTTATTCTAGAAGTGTAACGCAATCGCTGGTACTGGCAGTATGTGGGCGAGAATCGAACCAAACAAATGACAATGCCGGTATGGATACTGTAGTGGGTTGCTGTCGTTGTTCAAAACACCAGTTGGGCGGGGGTTTTGAGGGCCTAAAGATTGGGCAAGGGTTTTGGGCTCGTGATAAGGAAATAAGAGGTAATCGTTATGCTTTGGTCGCAAGTTTAGTAGGTGTCCGGTGGTTCGCCAGTGGGATCGCGAGATTCCCTCGTGTCTGTCGAGTTACTCACAATGAGAAGTGGAAGAAAGCGAGAAGTCGAAAAAAAAAGAGAGCTTGATTTCGCGCGCGACTTGACAAGGACGGGACGGACGTCATCTATCTAGTAATAGCCGCTGCGGACTGCAGTGCCGCCGTAAGACGGGAAATGTGCCTTGCCTTGCACGTTACGATCACCTTTCTCGCTGCCTTACATATCGATGTATGTACTTGCTATAGCAGGGTGGTTGGTAGTTGCAACAGGAAGAAAGCGGAAGAGTTCGTTTGGTTTCGACGTCGGGTGTCCGCAACCAACTGCTTCAAACCGCTGCGGTACGTACTCTTGGTATAAATACGGTACAGTATTGTAGCGTACAATGTGCCGGGAGGGGCTGAACAGTGGTAAGGTAGAAACTACTAGTACTGGTCGGCGGGGTATCACGGGTTGGAAGGTGCCCTTGGGTATAAGTCGCAAAGACATCGCTCGATACCTAGTGCTGGTGCAAGATAGGATATGCGATACCGTCCAGTCCTCGAGATGTCCAACCAACATGCTGAATCAGAGAACAGAAGTAGCATCAAAGACGTTTTTTTATCGTACTCAGTCAAAGACACACCGAAACAAGAATGGAAATGAGAAAAGGTACTATGATCTCGTCTCCACTACTCAGAATTGCGACGGGGTGAGAAGAAAGAAGTGTAAAAAAAAATATGCCATGCCTATGAGATGCCCAACAGGGTTGGCAGGTAATCCAACTTGATCTCCGTGGAAGGGGCCCGAGGGGTTCTTCGCCAGGGGCTGTGCGCGCGCAATCAGTCCCCCATACCACCTAGTCCCAGCCAATCCATCTCTTCATGTCGTCGCAACAGAAAGAACGACCCAGCATATGAAGCGATCGTCCAATCCTCAATCGTCACTCACGGTCTCACCCGACTGGCTGCTGGCGCAGGTAGCCCTCGGGGCGGGGTTCGACCGCTGCTGGCGTGGTGAAATCCTGCAGCTGGTACGGGGTGTTCCAGGTTGTCACAGCTGCCCGTCATCTGTTTCACACCAGCCCGATCCTTTTTCTTCGTCGCGACATCACTTGACGACGGCGTCCACTAGCATCAGACCAACCACAACCACACCCAACCCTTGGAGGTTGAGCCGCTTAAGAGGGCGGACGGGACGGAACTTGGACGTGATCCGCAAAGTGTTTACAGCTTTACTTTGTTTTCTGTCCCGTTTCTGCTCTTTCTCTTGTACATGATGGACGGTTGAGATGCCCATTGAAACAAACCACCAACGGCAGACCTGGCTGACCATATGGAAGCTACTATTTTCATACCTCTGTCCTCGACGGAGCTCGAATCTCGGTAACCCCTCCTCCCCAATCTTCGCGATTAACAGAGAGAAACTTTGAGATGATTCAGTGCTTGCTTGTGAACACAAAGCCCACGGCACACACGTTCCTCACTGACAACAGCAAAGATGGTCTGTATAATTCATCTCATTCACATTCATAAACAGCTACATACACTACTTTACAGAATGGAACCTACTAGCACCTGATGCGGCCAGGGCACCCATCCCAACCCCTTCTTCCCATTCGCTTGGCAGGCCCTTGTCCTGTCCCTGCACCCCGCGGTGTCGTTCGTTGATATCAGTGGTCGATGTCGTTGTCCAGCTGTTCCAGGCTGAACCAGGTTGCCAACCTCTCCTCCCCCCAAAGAAAAAGTAAAAAACCCATCTTGACCCGACGGCCATCTGCATTCTTTCGTCATATCTTCCCTTCTCGGATCGTGAGCAGTCAACGTCAAGTGTCCATGTACGCTTGAGTCAACATTCAGGTCTCATCTGGGTCGGCCTAGATTTCATTCGGCCGGCAAACTTCCTATCCCATCATTTGAGCCATCAAATTCACTTCGTCTTGTTCGTTCTGCCAACATCCTCGTATTTTCCTCTATGCGTATTGGGATAGCTCGCAGTCGCCAGCCGGTATGGATGCTCTTCGGTACCCATTTGCGTGCTCGGCAGGTCTTGAAGTGACCTTGCCGTAGGCTATGCAAATTGGGCGAGTCGCTTCGAGACTGGCCCAACACATACGCGTTGGGACTTCGAAAGCTGCATCAACAAAAAACCTGGGCCCTTCCCATGGGGTTTCAGATATGTCCGTTGTGCATCTGCGGTGAGGCTCAGCTATCAAGGTTTTTCTTTCTTTTTTTTTCTTTTTTTTTTGTTATTCCCCTAGACCTCGTCTCCCGACGAATCCTATAAGACGTCCGGCTGATATACGAGGCATGGTTACCAAGTGTTTCTGCCGACCGCGGACTTTCTCGAGTCTACCTCCATATCATTTGGAAGAGCTCGGGTGGGTTTGAGTGTCCTTCGAGTTGCTGGAGCGTTGCCAAGAAACGGTACAAATTCGACTCTCTGTCGAGGGTCTCCGGGTACTGGTACCGTATCCGTACAGCATCATCTCAAAGCCTGCAAACGCAGGACCGTCTCTTTCAGACACACCACGGTGTGAAGCATATTGCTGAAGCTATGTCTCCCTCTGCATCAGAGGCCATCTTCGAAGCACCTAATCACCGATCTTGGGAGTGGTGACTGTTGACAATCATGCTCCTGAAAAATTGTGGCAAGAAATTGTGGTGCGTCTCGTCCAACGGGATGGGGCTGTTTCCGTAGTAGGAGCTGCTCGCGCCGTCCTCTCACCCTCTACTGAGATGATGTTATCGTCGAATTGATAACCCGTACATCCTTTCGAGGAAATACTGATATCTTCCGTTTTGAATATCGACCCTCTTATTATGTTGCTCCTTCTTCTTTCCGTAACATGTCGTATACCTTCAACTCTTTGCTGACTTCCAGTCTTTCATTTCAAACTGGTTGTTTAGCGGTCTTGAGAGATCTCGTTCGATATCTGTCTCGACCGACCTGTCCGTAGTGCTGCTGCTTGTCGGCGGTATCGCCAGGATGCTCTGGTCGCTTCTGTTCCTGTACTTTCTTTCGTCCCAGTCGGATCGGGCTCGACGTGCTGATGCCCCCGCGGATCTATCACTTTCGACGACTACATCGATGCTCGGCTGCGATGGAGGGTCAAAGGTGTGAAGGAACAGAGCCCTCAGGGTGGGTATTGAGGCAGCCATCATGGCGCAAGCCCCCTCGACAAGGGCACAAACAACCAGAAGGAATCCCTCGTCTATTCCAAGGGTTAGCAGGATTTCACACCAGAAAATCGGAGGCTTTTGTGTGTGGGAATAGGAGAACTTACAGCTGAAGTCATTACTCACTATGCGGCTGATTGTCGACACCTTGATAGCACCCGCGATTCCGGCACTGTGAGGTTCGTCATCAGATTAGCGAAGCTCCTGTAGGATTCTTATAGTCTTGAAGGTTGGGGCCCTTTCACATACAAGACCCCCATGCTCATGGCTATAGCCACGCCAACCTTTTCGCCTCGGTACATATGAAATCGCATAAGGATTCGCCACGGTAGAAGCGCCAGCACGAAGTCACACACGGCTGAATAAACTAGAGAGGAGTAGTTAGTAAAAAAAAATTGGGGTGGATTAGCGTGTTTGGGTCAGATACTCACTTCCAAGAGCAATCGAGTAGGCAAGGAGGCCGTCGGGGGACCAGCATTTTTTATTCGTGATACTAGAGTTCCATGTCGCCTCCGGGGGCTCGCACAGAAGCCAAAACAAAAGGGCGGTGCTGACTTGGCAAAGCGTCAAAGTGATGATGATGAACCAGACGAGTCGCTTCAGCCAGCCATCCGTGATTCGAAGAAGCGTCACGGCAAAGGATACTTTGCTGAACAGTACGTGGAGAACCGATGTGGTGCCATTGATACCGCCGATAATAGACAGGTACTTCTCGTTTTCCCCGGGTACAGCATCAGTGTGTAGCCCGTATCCCATCAAGACGGAGGCAGTGGTAAAAACGGTGTTTATGAAGAGTAGAGCCTTTGTGATGAGACTGTGTCAGCTGTATCCATGTGGGGAAACGTCTTTGCAAATACCAAGAATGGCTGGTTGGATAATCATTACCAAGGGGGGGAACCAAGGCAAAGAGTATGAAGTTGTTGAAAAAGATATGGATGAGTGGCGTACCCAAGCTACTATTAACAAGTGATCATCCCACCAAAGGCAGCGGCCACGAATGACCTTGCAGTACAAGCGAAGGCCTACGAAGATGGTGCAGGCGGCATGAATACTCCAAAATATAGCCAGCAACGCCGCTCCCTGAGGGTTGGAAGACGGAGGAACGTAAACTGACATTTCTCAGCGGCTTTGAGGGGAGCCGCTGAAGCACATGAAGGTACAAACGGTGCCGATGGGGACCAGCTGCTGGCGGGAGGGCCGAGGAAGGCCCAACGCACGGGGTTTTGCTGTCGACAAGAAGGAGAAGATCCGTTGAAGCTTCTATTATCAAAATCGAGGCAGTGGATCCACCATGATAGACATCTCTGAGATGTATAAAAGTCGCCGGTTGAGAGCCACAAAGGAAGATATGTCCGCTCTTGTCGATATATGTATCTCTTTCCTAGTCGTTGGACTGTCGTCAAGCTGAGAATCGAAATTAAAGTGTTCGGCAATGGCTGTTGCTCAAGGACCTCGAAGTTCGTAGTGTTTTTTTGGTTGGGTTGGGTTACTTGTCCGGAGTTTGTGGAAATGGAATGGGTGGTGGTCGTCAAGGGTATTAGGCTCGATGGTCGTGGTTGAGTGAGAAATGTTGCGCCCAAGAGTGGAGAGATCTAAAATGAGATAACCTAAGTCGGAAGAAGGGTGTTATCCCCGTTCGTCCCGAATTGGATATCTACCAGCCAACTCGACCTGGAAGGGGCAAGACAGGAAGTAGAACACGACCAAAACAAGAGGCTAGGGGTGACGAGTGTGTAAGCGTTAACCCGGTGATTTGACCGTTCATCAACTGCTGGGTTAAGCCAGGGGCATGGTGTTGTTTTTATCTTGTCCACAACGGCTTCTCCTGACTTGTCTAGGCCCAGAACTCCAGCCCGCACCTGTCTGGCCCCTGACCTTGCTTAGTTCGACCGAGATCTCCTCAAGGCCAGTTCAGTTTGGGGTTGGGGGTTTGCTTCCGCCCATCAAAGCCCACAGGGCACCATCATGAATTTGCCTGGGTGATTCCGCAGTCTCGCCAGTGTATCTCGATGCGAGAATGTTGCGGAGCGGAGCGGGGTGGGTGCAACAGTCTGAACTAAACGTAAAAAGAAGGTAAGAAGAAAGAGAGATGTCCGCTGAAGGAGGCCCCCTGGTGTCCCTGGTGTCCCACTCCCTCGGGGCTGGAGATACGATACACTTCTGCACGGGCAGTAAATGTTAGCTCCGGTTTTTGCGAGTGGCAAATAACCTTGATTTTTGCACAGGAAATGGCTATCTGGTCGTCTCTTTGCTCCCTGTTTTTTGTGAGGCGGCTGTATCCAGCTAACGTTTGATATCCATGCGGAGGTGTACAAGCGATGCTCTGTAATCCATGCCACCGCGGACGTCTCTAACTCGTCTTGTCGTCATTCCTAGCGCTCGCACTCGTTGCTTGCGTGCAGTTCGCCAAGGACGAAACGCCAGCTTTTTTTTTGTTCGAGCCATGTTGGTGGTTCCCAAGCTCTGGCAGCCAATGGGATCTTTCCGCACTCCTGACCGGGAATAACCACTTGGGATTTGGGGGACGGGGACGGTGAAGCCACGGTGAAGTGCTAGGAGCTTCCTTGCGCGTTACAGCGGACCCTCTGTGAATATCGGGGAGTGCACATCCCGAACATCTCGCCGTGCCTCATCAGGTGGTGGTGTAGTGTAAAAACTAGTCTGGGACACGCTCACACCAGACGCATCCAATGTCCGGACTAGGTATATTCACACCACCTGCTCGTGTATGTTGGAGACGATCGATCTCTCGTGCAACATATGCTCCCACCTGTTGTTCTTTGGTACTCATCCCATCCACCACTTGCTCCTAGTGCAGTGGGATCGGGGCGAGACGAGACATGGACGGCGAAACAACCATGATCTCGAATTGAATCTACTAGCCTAAGTCCGCCATCGCCGTACACGCCCAAGAAAAGTGTCTGGCGTACTAGGCGAAGATCAGGAGGTTAGCTAGTAATAGGACAGCCTGAGATAGCACCGATGGTGGACGATGACAAACGCATCTACCGGTGAGCGACCTTTGTGAAATGAAAGATGGAGTCGCTGAATAGCGGGATGCGAGTTGTCGGGGATTATCGAATATCTGCCGTTCAGGCGCGCAACAATTCACTTGACATTGGATGTTGTTCCATGCCTGCAACGTTGAGATCCACATCTCCAGATCACGTGAAAACTAGCACTTCCCCAGTTTTCAGCAGGGATCTTCCTTCGGGGTTTCCCTCTTCGTTTCTTCTTTCCTTCTCTTGACTAGGCCAAATCAACAACAAATCCAATTCATCCATCCGCCTTTCAAGCTTCAATTCAACTGAAGCGCAAGGGCATTGTTGACCGTGAAGGAGAAGGAAAAAGCCAAGTGAGGTTCAAGGAGGTCCCGTTTGTGTGTTCCGCTGCCGGTCCAAACCGAGCTTTACCAGTTTGACAATCACGACCAAACGAAAGCAAAGAGAGCGAACTAGAAGGCCTGAAACGAAGGATCAACTGATCAAAAGCAACCTTATGGAAGGCGGCGTCCTGCCGCGCGGCAAATTCGGATTTGCAGAAACTGAAACTAATGGATAGGATGTGCCAACTCTGTCACGTGCATTACCTTCCTCTACCTCTACCTCTAGAGATAGCTGTGGCGGGCGGTGATTTCCATGGTTGTCGCTGCCACATTAAGACATCTGTCAATAGATGAGGTCGGACTCGTTGATGGTCGGCGGGAAGAGGTAAGCGGGTTAGCACAAGCTATATACATAGGTGCTGAAGTTCACCGAGGTCCTCCGGCCGGCCGGCGGCCAGTGCGTCCGTTGCCGTTACCTAATGTTTACGCTTCAACTCTGTTGACATCAAGAGGTTCAGGTGCCATACACCTATACCTAAATCACCTCCAATTGTTCAACTACAACTACCGTCCCACACAAGCACTATCTGAACGAATACGACAAAGAGCCTTAGCTCGGGGCCAGCTGAATGAAATTTCAATTAGACTCCAATCACACTACATTGGAGCACAGTGATTGGAACCACGCTATATAGGTATGGAGCTTGAGCCCTGATCGCTTCCACCTCCGCCGGCCTTTACACGCAAAAGGTTAGCGCGATGAACTGCAAAGTGGCGATAACTGTAATCTCCGTACAATCGATGGCGGCATTGCTCGGTGTTGTAGTGTGGCAGTACCGCGCTAACAATGGAATCATATGCCGGCCAAGATGTACTGCGACATGCGTAGGGCTGACGTTAAGGTACTCCCACAAACTGTCGTGTTGGCCCCTGATGAACTGGAACCCGCCCCGATGACACCTTCTCCAGCGGGAGCCACGGCCCATGGGGAAGTAGAAAGTACAACCTCAACACTTCGACGGGAGCCTGGCGCTCTGGCAAAAGCAAAAAAAGTACGACAAGAATAACATCAGCACTCAAACAAGGGGGTGAGGCTATCGTGTCTGATCTCAAAATTGATGAACATCGGGGTGGTAGGATCCGCCGTTCTATTCCGCTTGGAGATCAACACACGATCACAAACAACGGTTCTGGAGGTCGGACCCTCGACAAAATCGCGTGAGTACAGATACCTGCCCACGCTGATCTCTAACCGCGAGAACAAAAGAAGAAGCAATTGTCTCTGTCGGGTCTTCCCGTCCTCTTGGGCGATGCTCATCAAGGTGGGTAATCAGCTTGCACCCGAAGCCCCAAGCCATGTCTTGACTTTGGCAAGATAACCACCTCGAACGCCATCCACAGCACCAAGGTCTGTAGCATGAGCGATATCCGTTTGTGTTCCATCGGCATCGCAACCTTTAGTGTTTTCGCGCGCACTCGGATTGACGGCAGATACGTCGATAGCTGACTGGATCAACGCCTTTCCGGCGCCCGATTTCTCTTCTCTTGTTGCCTCTGTCGATCCTCCTTTGTTACCATTGATGATGATTGAGTTGTTCACCTTTTGGAAGACAGGTGGGGTGGACGGTAGAGTCAGGGTATCGGATCTCTAGTCCGATGCATCGTCACCTCCGTCCTCTTCCTCCTCTTCCTCATCCTCCTCCTCATCCTCCTCCTCCTCTTCATCATCATTACTGTCGCCATGACCACCGCTGCCTCCACCACTTTCACTTGCCGATTCTAGCTGCTGGTTGTCATTGTCAATCGGCACATATAGCAAAGATGAGCCGTGCGTCGGCGCCACCATGAAGCTGCTGTGGGTGTGATTCGTGGGAACTGGCTGGGGCTGTTGAGACGCATATTGTTGAAGAAACGCCGGATGTATTGGTGCTGATGTAGATATAGCCTGGGAACCGGGAAGGTTGGAGCCCGTTTGGTCATATTCCCGATGCGGAAGCGGTGTTGAGTCTCCTGATCTTGATTCCGGTGCAGATCTATAGGTTGAGAGCTTTCTGACCTTGCCGGCTCCCGAGGGTTCTGTCTGAGTTGTCGGTTCTTTCTCTTCGTTCATTTCTGCGTCATCTACCTCAAAAGGCCGCTTTTTATGCTCAACATGGGGCTGAGGATCGATTTCCTGGCTCACAGTCTGTTGCTGTTGCTGCTGCCATGCCACAAAGGCAGGATGAACAAGAGGTGCGGGAGTTGATTTGAGGTCCTCTACCACCGCTGAGGATATTTTGACGGCTTCCGATGCACGCGTCAAAGCATTCGATGCAAAGTTCATTAACTCATTCAGCTGTACGATTGAAGGCGAGCGGCCGCCACTCTGTGCATCCTCCACCCAGCCGCGGATGTAACCAAAGGACCGTTCCGCGGCCTTAATCTCCGCAGCGAAATACGCTTGCTGGGACCACTGCTCCAGCTCTGGACACCTTGCCACTACACTTGCCGGGAAAGGTGTGGCCTGGCTGGTGTTGCTGGTCGGAGGTTGTGACTGTGTTGGACAGGTTAGTTCTTCGCTGCTATGCCCGGATACAAAATCAGTCAAAATGGTTTAGCACTTACCGGCTGTTCTCTCTTTGCCTTTGGAGGCCTCGGTTTCTTTTCCTTAGCAGGCTTTCCGTTCCCCGAATCCTCAATCCCGGCCATTTGCTTCGCTTCAGGCGGTACTCCCGGCTCCCTGACGACGATATGGTCATGAGCATCGTCCTCGGCCGCGTTCCAAAAGCCATCCAAAGGCCAAGAATCCGCCAGCTTGCGGTTGGCCATGTACCATTTTCTTATCCGCCCCTGCATGGTTTTCGGGACCTGATAGAGGCGAGGGTAGACTGAAACGAAGCCAGCCATCTCTCGCTGGGTTAGATCCACATCCTCTGGGTCGATCCTCTTACTGAACTTTCTCGTGACGGTAAGCGCAGGATACTGCTCTGAAGGCGGCATGAATGGGAAATAAACAAATCCTTGGTGATGGATTCTATCCGCCTCTGCACGACTGTGGCGTGTCATGGTGAATGACTGTTGATGCTCGTGGTAGTGAAGGTACTCTTGCTGAGGGGTCGCGGATTGTTAGATGATGTTGAGGAATGAGGTGGCAACGACTAGATACGGTACGTACGTAATTTGCTCTCAGTCAGTCACGTCCAACTTGGTTTGATGAACTTGAAGGCAGTCGAGGCGCGCTGGAGGTGGTTGGTTGACGCGCCGAAAGAAGGACGCGATCCTTGGGTCGTTTTAGTTTTAGTTTTTTTTTTCTGGTAAGGAAAAAAGTTAAACCGCGACCGAGGCACAAGAGATGCTGGCAGCGATTTCCAAGTTTGCCTCTCTTGCTAGTGGGAGGAGCAAGATGTTGTCTCTCCTCGACTTTGTCGCCTCTATCAATTTCAATCGGTCGTGTCACGGGCGCCTGTTTGGATGGCCGAGCCTTGGTGCACCACGGTCCAGGTCCGATGGCCTATTCGAATGGGACGAAACAAACCCCAAGGTGAAGACTTTTTAGCCGGCGTAGTCTGCGGGCAAAAGTGATACTATCAGTCTAGAGATGATATTCCTCTTGTTTAATAACGAGCCGGACCGAAGTCGAGACTGCCGGCGGGAAGAGTTGCATGGCGGTCTGGAAGACTTGACGTACTGGGTGGCGAACCGACGATAACTATGGGCAGGCAAGGTGTGCCGCCCTAAGTCAATCCATCCTCACTTCGGCTTAAGTAGATCGTGAAATGGAATTGCTAACATCGTACAAGTCGGTTGACATTGGTGTGCGAGAGTCCTTGGATCGTCGACGGTTAAGTGCACTCGATCATCGCCCTGTTTGTTCGTTAACGCGGTGAACCCTGTTGACTGGAATGAAAGGGCCCCTACCCTTCGTACGCGCTTCATTCAGCGAGCTATCAACTCCAAAGCCCAGAGAATATCAACAGGCAAGACGAGCTTTTTGCATGTCGCTGTTCTCACGATGCGGGTTTGAGCGAGTTCGACGCATGTGATGTCGGGGAGAAAACTCCAGGTGGCCCGTGGGCACGGCATTCATACCTCATGAGCCCCGGAGGTTAAAATTCCCGAGCCTGAACGCCAACTAGCAGGTATCTCAACCTCACCCATCTGGTTTTCATTCGCAAAGGTCTGATTCTGTACAAGATGATATCGCGTGTCCCTGGATCTCACATCTTGGCCTTGGTGTGATGTTTTCATTCTGTTTTCATCGAGTGTCTACACAGACCACCAGCCTGCAGCACTTTAACCACCGTTACCTGTTCCATGATTGGCCAACTGATCTTTGAAAAGGTACACTGCACTGGAACCTCATAATTCATCATCATTCGTCACCCTTTCCCTTGGGCCAAAAAAGTATTTCTGTCCAGACTCGTCCTCACATCCGAGGTCATGGTTACACAACCTCTGGGGTTGCATTGGCTGCCGCCAGGACTTCATCTACGTTGAGCGGCGTCGCTCACACTTCATTTGGCATGCCTTTCTGACCGAAGCAACTACCGTTTTGAGATGAAAGGTCGGCAGAGTTCTGTAAAGACGGGAATTTGTCCACCTCCTCGTTGTCGGAAGCCCAAGTGGCCATCCCACGGCCATCCCACGGCCGTCGCACCGGTGCTCATCAGGGCTCCAAGAACAGAAGGATGGTATCAGCACTGGACTTTCTCTCCAGTATTTTGCTTGACATGCATGTTCTTCAACGGTACCGTTCCGGTAAGCATCACCAACCTTCACCAGCGTATATCGCAGTCCCGAGATCTGTCCCTGTGCGTAACTTTACGCTCGCCAACGCACGGAAATTCAGACACGTGGTGACCTGTCTTGGTACGTTGTATTTGACAAGCCTCGAAACATAAATGGACACGATTCTCTTCCTGCAGGTCCTTTGCAATTCCCAGTCGATTCTGCAAGCCCAATGCTGACGGAACCCGTCCTAGCTCGCTTGAACCGTTCAACGAATGGGAAATTACCTGCTGTTACTCCATTACAAGTGCGAAGTTTTCGGCAAATCGGAAACAAAACGCTGAACGGGGGCCAGAGCGTAAATCGGGAGAGCTGTGAGAATTTGCGTTGACTTGGGCCTATATAACCCCTTCGTCCTCTCCGGGCTCTTGGATTGCGAAGTCCCACACCAACTGGCTTTATTCTCTTCAAGAAAACCCTTCATGCCGTCGATGGCTCGATCACTTTTGTTTTTGGTGCTTGCCGCATCATCACTCGTTGGTGCGACTGGAAAAGATGCTGTCCACAAGCTGCAGCAGACAGGTAAAGCTAACCTCGAGCTCCGGCTTGCCAAGTCCTCAACATGCACCAAAGAGAACCTTCAGATTCGACGTGAATGGTAAGAGCAGCCTCGAAGGCGGAAAAAAATAATGACAATGAAGCTGACCCTAAGCACACAAAACAGGGGCGACATCTCAAAGGCCGAGCGTAGAGAGTACATCGCTGCTATGCTGTGTTTGATGTCTAAGCCTTCTCAACTGGACCAGACGGAGTATCCTGGAGCCAAAACACGCTATGATGACTTCGTCTCTGTTCATATGAACCAGACATTGACCATCCATGGGACTGTGAGTATTGGACTCCATGTCTCTGAAAATTCCAAATGAACTAACTGTTCTTTAGGGAAGCTTCCTTGCATGGCATCGCTATTTCACCTGGTCCTTTGAAAGGGCTCTCCGGGAAGAGTGTGGTTACACTGGATCACAGCCGGTATGATCCATATAGAATCTACGACAACTGTCCATAGCCGCATTTTCGACGCTAACGTACTGCGACAGTACTGGAACTGGGGCAAATGGGCATCAGATCCGGCGAACTCTCCTCTCTTCGACGGCAGCGACACTAGCTTAAGCGGCAACGGTCTCAAAATTAATCATGAAGATACCGACTACTACCCAGCTGGACCCGGAGGAGGGTGTATCTACTCCGGTCCATTCGTCAAGTAAGCATCTTTGTACCACTTAACCCGTTCCATGTTCGGTGGCGCAAAACCTCAAGTCTCCAACTTGACTGGCGAGTGTCCCCCCCCTTCTGCGCCCTCCCTTGCTAACCTAGCGATCAACTCAGTATGACCGCCCGCCTAGGCCCTCTCTCCCCAATACTCAAACCTGCTCCCGCCGCCAACCCCCTTCCCAACGGCATGGGCGACAACCCGCGCTGTGTTCGCCGCGACATCACCAACTATCTTTCCTCGCGTTATACCCGCACCGAAGACATGGTGACCCTGATCGCCGACTCCCCCGACATCCTCACCTTTCAAGACCGCATGCAGGCTGTGACAGCGCGGCCCTGGGAAGTCGAGGGTACTTACAACCCAGCCGAGCACAACGGGATGCCGCTCATGGGCATCCATGCTAGCGGACATCACACCATTGGCGGCGACCCAGGAGGCGATTTTTACACCAGTCCTAATGATCCGGCGTTTTTTAATCACCATGCGGGCATTGATCGAACTTGGGCTATCTGGCAGTGGCTGGACTTGGAGAACCGGACTGAGCAGATTGCTGGTGGCACGGCCATGTTTGATCCGGTGAACAGTCCAAGGCAGACGTTGGATGATATCGTGGATCTGGGAGTGGTTGGAGATCAGGTTTGGAGGATTAGGGACTTGGTCAGTACCGTTGATGGGCCGTTTTGTTATACTTATGAGTAGATGGGGAGGAGTGGGCGGTGATTTTGGTGTTGTGTGGTTTGGTGAAAAGAAGGTGCGATGGAGAAGTCACAAGGGACGGTAGCCTCCGCCTTGTTTCTTTCTATCTTGAACACAGCGATCTGTAATAAAATGATGGAATAGCTGCGAGGTATTCTTCCCCTTGCACGGCTTCATCACTCTTTCTACACTTGGATATCGAAGAACATCGCTTTATCGCTTGATTGCGCGCACATTACGCATCCCTTACGAACGACCACAAGGACACTATGGGCCTCATCACCAATGCTTTGACAACGGGCTCAAAGAATTCAACCTAACTCGTCTTCTGAAAGGGGAAAGATCTTGCTCCATACTGGGTCGCATGTGTAACACTCTACGGACGTGGCGCAGTCGGTCTCATACTTGCCGAGGTCCTCGGATTTCTTTCCTTCTTTCCTCCTTTCTCATTTTTTTTTTCTTAGTTCTTGTTTTTATTTATTTTTTTTCTTCAACTTGTCGTCCTCACGGCGGTTGAACAATCTCACTTAGGCAAAGGTACTCTTAAGTTTCCTAAGTTCTGTTTGTGTCGTACTTGGTTGCCGATTAAATAGGTACGTCAAAAACAACTTTGGATTTTCTGCGAAATTCTATCTTTCGGCTCTGGACACATCACACGGTATTCGATGTCAAAGTACCCTAAATAGACGCGTCCTTGGTGCTAGGAGAATTTTTCCTCTAGCACTCACAATTGTCCAAGCCGAAGTTGGGGCAAAGAGGATGCTGTCTTGCTACGGGATCCAAATAAACACCCATAGCTTCGATGAGGCTGGTGTATGTACGTATCCTCCAGTCCGGACCCCCAAAGGAGGAGGAGCCAAATTAGGGTAACATGAACACGAGACACGATGCAGGGAGCTTATCTGTGAAAGTTCAAATTTGTCCTATGTCCGCGTAGCAGGCACCCTGATTCAATGTGTCTCGGTATCCGCCGCTTTCATACATTCTCCTCCTTTCAGGAGTGCAAAAAAGTTCCTAACGGCCTGAAGAGACGAAAGAAGTGGGTGAGGTTGTGCTACTTACCAGCCCTACGAGCCCGGCACCTCCTGGGACAGGCGGGTAGACTCAGCCCAGGTTTGGCAGGGAATCTGAAGCAGTGAGGAATCCCTATCAGCTAGTGCCTGTCTCGTGTTTAGTCAGGAGGAAGTCTCGCTATCAAATTGAGACACGGAATTAAGAAACCATATGGGGTATTGAGGAGGACTTCAACATCTCCACTTCTGTGCTTGCCACAGCCGTTGAGTTCGGTAATATCAATTTGGAGTTGATTGTTCCCTGGTGAGGTATCTTGCTTTGCAATGGCATCATGTCTTGTTTATCAAGTCGGCCCTTGTTGTCTTGTGGCTGGCTTGGCTTCAGCTGTCCCCCCACAGGATAGAAGGTATTTACTACGGGAGTGAAAAGGCAGTGGATTAGTTAAGGTCACCGCCACTCCGGATCAAATTCCTCTCCCGTCCTGTACATTCGGGTTCCTGATAGCTTTTTCGTCGTTGGACAAAAAAGCGGCCCAGTGGAAGCACCGCAGGAAGGTTCATAGGCTTTACGTCGCCTTCTTTCCGTTGGCTTGTCGCGTTACACAACATCAAATACCTCGCTGCCTGCTTACCTGGAGCCAAGCCCCCCTCCACGCGCCTCCGCCTCATTTTCTGTACTCTCCCTCGTGACTTTTGCCCGCAAGATGCATCTCCAAACAGCCAGAGGCCGTCCCGAGTCTATACCGCCGTCGAAAACCGGAGCATTAAACACTCGGCCGGGGACCATCGGACTGCTCTCCCTTGGCTTCACTTACCGGGCCATCCTTTCTCAACCTATGAGAGCTTACTAGGTCGCTCTAATTGGAATATCCGGCTGCCTGGGGTATTCTCTTGTCGTACCATGATTTCGAGGTAGTACTTTAACGTGCCAGACCGGTTTCGACCTTGGCGCTCAAGTTCTAAATGGCCCACGGAGCTCAGACACTGTACAAGACGACAGCTTATTGACGTGAGCATTCACCATGTAACTACCCGTGAAACGTTCCGGCACTGCTGCTCGCTAGATATCAGGCTAATGCTCGACAGCAGATCTACCCAAGAGTACCACCAGACAAGTGGGACGAGATGACTTGCATGCGACTCTAGACGCCAGGAAGATGCCGTTTGGTGACGGGCAACAACACGAGAGCGGGCGTGGGGATGACCCATAGGGCTGCATATCCCGAAACTAGGATCTTGTCGAAGGATGAGATGTGCCTACTCTCTCGCAGACATCAGAGGCTAGGTAGCCTAGTGTTGTTGCGGCGATCTATCATGGAAGTTGTATCACTTACACCAGGGGGAGACTAGTTCTCACTACTTGGCCGGAGCCTTTCGCTCTATGGGGGAAGCTAAGCTTGACACAAAGACAAATGAATTCTCTCTCGTCTTCTCATATAAGTATGCTCTCTCGGCGAATTCTTCATTCTTCACGCTCACTGTTTACCCACCATCATCACGCTCAGCTCAAGATACCACATCAACGCCACCAGAACAATAACAACACATAAGCATACTGTTCCCATGTCTAGTATATCCCAGTTCTTCATGTACTCTTCACGCAGTACCTCTCCATTGCCACAGACCGAGTCTAAGCCTCGGCAGGTTTGGACGCCAGAGGAGGATAGGTTGCTTGCTGAAGCCGTGACAAAGGGCAAGAAGAGCTCCATGGACCCTAGTTGCATGATTCATCTTGTATCGGTTTGCTAACCTTTCCTTGTCCCTGATCAACAGAGACACCAGCCAACGGTTCCATCAACTGGTGCAAAGTCGCCTCCCACCTCTCCCGACGGAACAACAAAGACTGCCGAAAACGTTGGCACTACAACGTAGCCCATAACATTCGCAAGGGCACATGGACCAGAGAGGAAGATCAAAGGTTACGCAAGGCCTTTGACAGTCACGGCCCACGCTGGAGCAAGGTTGCTCAGGTGGTGGGTTCACGCAACGGAGACCAGTGTTGGAAGCGCTGGTATGATTGTCTTGACCCCAAGATTGATAGAAGTCCGTGGACGCCGGAAGAGGTGAGAAAAAATAAAAATAAAACATCATTATCTGCCTAATACGCTTGACTAACCAACTATCTATCCCCAGGATATCCTTCTTCTCCAAACCGTTTCCCAACGAGGGCGCAACTGGACCGAGATCGTCAACACTCACTTCCCCAACCGCACCTCTCTAGCCGCCAAAAACCGTTATAGTATTCTCCGCCGTAGACAGGAATCTGCTTCTTCTTCTGCTTCGTCCCCTTCCTCCTCTCGCTCCAGGTCTTCAACACCCAACATCATGAAACCCAGGACCAAGAGGGCCACTACCACCACCACAACAACAAAAGCGATTCCGAGCCCTATGTCGATGACAAGTAAGCCAGGATACCTATCCCCCACACCACCCACCTCAAGCCAACTTACCCCCGAGCTCGGGAAATGCTTCACTCGCTCTCCACTTTCGCTATCAGACACCGAGTCTACTTCCACCCAAGGGTCCGGCCTTGGGTTTCTCCTTCCACCATCAGCATTGTCAACGGGGACGTCCTCATTCCCAACGACGACGACGGCGGCGGCGGCGGCGGATGCCACTGGTTTCGAGTTCTTTTCTTTTGGAAACAACGACTACAATTGTTCGGGAGATTATGCTTGGGGTTCTTCATGCGCTCCTGATCTCATGGTATCAGCGGGACCTATGAGTATGGGTTATGCTTCTACTTCTACTTCCACTTCCTCACCTTCCCCTTCGCCATGCACGTCGTCGTCATCATTCTCGTCGTCGCCCTCGCCACAGTCGTTGTCGCTGAACGGCATCTACATGCCTGTGGTCAATCAGGGCTTGGTCTTCAACTTCCCAAATGTCCCGGCTACGCAAGCACAACAGCAACAACAGTTTGAGTTCATCGTTCAGACACCCACTCCGATAGGAACAGGAGCCGCGGTAGAGTATGCGAGTTGGTGCGATCATTCGAGACTGTGATGATGGAGTATTTTGTGGTGCTTCATCTGCGTCGAGTAACGGAGTCTTGGGGGGGGGGGGTTAGCGTTGAACATGGATTGATGGCGGGTTTTGCGATTTGCTTCTTTTATTATTTGATGTAGACCATCATCACCCAGCACAACTGGCGTCAGGGATCATATAAATGAGGAACGCAACAAGCTCGTGTATTGTTTGCGTATTGGATACATGGAAGTCTATCAAATGAACTTGATTACAATTTTGTTTCGCTGTGAAGCCCAATTTAAACAACATCGCTGGCCTTCGCCACTATTATACAGAACGATTCCTTGACAATGTTACATGATCGGACATGATGCACTTGCTAGCCCCTTCTCCAGACGCTGTAATATGCCATCATCGCTCTTCATTCCCAAGTCTGCCTCATCCCCCCAGTACGTGCACGGAAAGTTGGTAAGCTTCTCATCCTCAAACGCTTTGACGGCAATCTCTATCGCGGTCTTCGTCCCAGGCGGTTTCAGTTCACGCGACAAGAGACGCATTATGAGACGCACACGCTTGGTAGCTAAGGCATTCTCTCGCCCACCTCCATTCCCACCATTTTCGTCCTCCTTTGAGTTTTCAACCTCCTTCGTGTCGGGGTCTCCGTATATGCTTAGGTACAACGGGTCCTTCGCAGCGGCCAGTTGTCTCTCGATGGAATGGAACAGAATAATCGACTGCGCAGTAACCCACAAGCGGTTCACAGCGCCAAGGCAATGACTGCCATGTACGCCGATGATGACCTCGGTCTTAAACAATTCAAGGACATCGCGAAAGTTCACCACGACCTTGCTGCCACCCGGCCCTTCGAGCAGCTTTCCAGGAACTAATTCATTGAGCTTGAAGTCGACGGCCTGTATTCCTTCCATAATTGTCTTCGCCCGGTCACGGCCACCTTTGATGATAAATCTGTGATTGTTGCTTGAGCCATGCCCCTTAACCTGCATGGCCCGTTTCTCTTCACCGGCGGTAGTGTCCTCCATGAACCTTTGCAGATTCTCTAGGCGTCCGATCCTCTCAACTCTGTAGTTTTGAACGTACAGACGATTAAATACCGAAAGGGGAAACCACGTGCTAAAACAATTTAGGGCGTTGCTCAAGGCTCGGTCGTAGTAGGCACCATATTCCGGTGTCCTTGCCTCCTCAGTCAACAAATTGTCAAAAAACCCCTTCAAGATGAGAAATGCCTGAGGTGCCTTATCCGTGTATCCTTCAGTAACCAACATATTGTACAAGTGTACCAGGAGTACAGGCTCATTCGTGAAACCAGGGTAAAGTACTCTGGAGATATGATCGAAATTTGTCAGGCTTTGCACAAGGACTTCAGCGCAATGGAAGGGGGAGCAACCCCACAGGAAGTTTGAACCTGTGCCTTGGTCCTGTCTTGTGGAGTGAAACTCCAGGGCAGCGGAGCAAATTCTAGCCGCCTGCTTTAGAAAATTGGTCTGCTCGATTTTCTGGTCCTCTCCAGTACGTAGGTGTTCGTCCAGCAAGTGTAAAGAAGTCCAAAACCCGGGCCCAAGATTCATATAGTCGTCAAGCTTGACACCCAAGAACAGCGCCAAATCACGTGCGGGAAAGAAGACATCGGAAGAAGGCGGCTGGACAAAAATAGGCCCCCAGAGAGGGTTATTCAGCCAGCCCCTTGACACAGTAAAGGAATCCACCATGTGTTGTAGTATGAAGACTGTGGTAGGCTGAATGTTGTGTCGAGTTGATTCACCGGTGGACGAGGGTTTTTCCATGGCAAGTTTAATGATGCTGGACAAGAAGGCTCTATGCTGATATGAACCTGATCCATTCAAGTCATCTTCGGATGGGCCTTTTGGGCCCCAGATGACATTTTCCCAATCTCCGTCGAATTCTTTCGACTTCACTATAGGGGCAACATATTCGTCAAAAAGCGAGTAAAGAAGCTTGATGGTATATAGATGGCGCCACTGTAGGTATTCTTCCTTTGTAAGCACCATTAGGTCGGCGCTGGGATCCCAGTTCTTGAGAAGCTTTGCCATGCGCTCGGTGGGCTTTCCGGTTTGTGTGGTGCGAAAATCGGAAAGGAATTCAAAAAGCGATTCGAACGTGTATATCATGAACTCTTCCTTCATATCCACACTCTGATTTTCAATCTTTCCTGAACATGAGCCATCGCCACGAACGCGGTAAACGGACGCAAAAAATGGTTGAACATAATCATCAGGATTTTGATAACCCGTTAAGTAGTCGATCATGCTGATGTAACCTAATTCTTCAGGAATACTGTCGTGACGGTATTTGACAATCAAATTCGTGGCCGCAATACCAATTGCCCCGGCCACGGTGCTGTTGAGGCCATCGAAGACAACCTCTACCCAGGTATCGTGGAGAAAGTTTCTGAGGTGCATGAACTCCTTGAACAGGTCGTAAGCTGCCATACCCCAGGCGTTCCCGTCGGAGTTGAAACGGCCGTTCGTATAGCAAGGGTCATCGATGTCAAAGTGACTTAATGGGAAATCATCAGGCGGGAGACTGTCCTTGATCTTGTTGAATTTGGCTTCGTTTTCTGGTGTCTTTGACTTGTTGCGACGCCCGGGCTTGCCTTTCTCAGCTTCAGGATGAACGCGGATGGGAAATCTGTCGGGGACCAAATAATTGATATCTTCTTCGGTCTCCGGTGTGTTATATTTCAAAATGGACGAGACCTCTGACTCTCCCGGGGAAGTTGACATCCAATGGAAGCCTCTGAGGCCGTTGAAGGCCACCCAAAAGGCGCGAATATCAGTCTCAAGCGTTCGGAAATTCTCCATCTCTTCGGGGCGTGGGCGCCTGGCTGCGAGCGCCTGCCACGTAGTCAGAGCAGTGACTCTTGTGTGGATGATATGCAGGAACAAGGCCAGAATAGAAGGTGGGATAACATCCACATGGAGGCTAATGAACCTGCAAAAGTTGTAGAGTCTGGACCGGTTAAAGAATCCCGCTCGGGCTGAATCAGCAAGCAACTCTTTCGGTCGTTTCTGCCCTGGTAGACCAGCGCTGGGAACTTCCAACAAGGTCAGGTTAAGATCATGTTGCCGAGTCGTTTCCCAAAACTTGATAATTGATTGAACAGTGCGGACAATCCAACAAAGCAGGAGTTTCGAATTGCGCTTGTAAGCTAGATACGATCCAGGCGGTGCGTACTGTATGTCCTCGGTGGGCGGCATCGTGGCGATGATGAATTTCTCGGTCTAAACTTGAAGAATGGCTGCGGCGTAATATCAGATGTTGCATACGTGGGATAAGAAGTTTGGCGAGTTGCGAGATTGATCAGGACAGGCGTTCGTTGAATTAAATCCCGAAAGCTTGGGTTCAAGAGGAAGAGACACGGGTTCCGTCATGTATTCCGGGCTTGCCAAAGAGCAACATAAACCTTTGCCATGTGCCAGAAGGTGGTTTGACTGTGCATTGAGGGCCGTGACTGCTCAGAAATTGACCAATATGTAATGGAATTCTCATGAGAAGGGACATCCGCTTAGGTCGAACTTCGATCGTCCTGAAATCGGATATCGTGATCTGGCCGGTAGTTATCCGTCCAGTCTCGCGAATCGCATGGCCGCACAGCGTTCTAGCCACCATTGAACAGCAGGAGCAGACAAACTGACGAACTTTTTGCAGGGGCCAAGTAAAAAAAAGGGGTCCCATTCATCATCGCATCCCAGAGATCAATACAGTAGGTATCACTTGTATGATCTAATGGCCGGACTTAAAGTGCCATTGCCGGAAAAAGCCAACCCGCGTGGGAATTCGACAGGAACTTAGCATCCGCACCATCGTCCTTGAATACCGGGAGCGGTTCGCTGCAAGGGAAAGGTAAATCGGGAGAAAAGTCACAGGAAGCAACCCAGCAGCGAACTTCACCATAAATAAAACCGGAAAGAAGCACCAACCCAAAGTTATACCTGTCAGAAGGGGAGGAAAGGATACGTACGACAATCCGAAACTCAAAAGACCCCAAACTAGATAGATAGCACTGAAAATGAAAGAATGCAGCGGGGATGTGTAAAGCTCGGAGAAAATGCGGGAAAAAAATCATTGTCTCGATCATTCTTACGCCTTGCCCTAACCGTCCTTGGAAATTTAACATGCCATCCCGATCAAAATGAGGCAAAATGCACTCGACAAAAGAAAAGGACAAAAAATGGAGAAGAAAAAAGCAGATGACAAAACCTAAGTAACCAAAAAGCATCCATCACATACCGTTGACAGATAATTCCATTGAACTCATGAACGCTGATTCCTATCCTCGAAACAGGCCGTTTCTCCCAGCAAATGCGTGACGTTTGCTTCGTGTAAGCGAAGAGCCAGCTCTTCAGGCGGTATGATGCGTCTTTGGCTCACGTTGCGGCGAGTAGAGTCTGAACTGGGCAAAGATGATCAAGTCTTCCAGCATAGTACCGAGCGAGCCCAGAAGCCAAGGAAGGGCTCTGACAATATAGTCTCTTTCCTGAGAGTAGGCGATAACGCTTGCTCCATATGTGAGGTTGCCCGTGAGCGAGAGCAGGAAAAACAACAGGGCAAGACCTTCGCAAGACTTCTCACGGTAATTCTTGATGATCTGAGGGATTCGAGCGCTATGGAATTGGTTAGCTTCTTCAGCCCAGTGGTGACACCGAGTGAATGGGCTGAGACAACAGGACTAGATACGTACCACAAGTAACAGATGGCGCTGAAATAGCCCAGGATCATGCCAATGACGGCCTGTGGCTCTTGAGAAATCGTGTTGTTTCCACCATCGGGTAACCCATCCTCAACATCCCACGCACCCATCTTGTAGCTGATGAACCAGCCCGCAGCGCCGACGACCCAAACAGCTACCAAGCTCAGGGTGTTGTGCAGCCATGGATTGCTGTCAGGAGTTTCGTCTTCACCTGTGACGATTCTGGTCAATGGATCGAGAGTGCTCTCCCTGTGGCGCATCGAGTGCCGACGGTGAGAGCCTGGCAATCCCGTAGAATCGCTGCGCGACCGACGCGGGTGCTCATGATCCAGCAGCGGGTCGTGCTCAGAAGGGTCCTCTACAGCCGTTGTGTCGGTTTCTTGTGTCTCGGCAGAGGAATGTCGTGCACTGCGGGCATGTCTTTCGATGCGGCTGCGGCGGCGGGCGTTAACGGCGTTGTAGTAGCTGCATTGGCCAATGAGGACCAGGTCGGCGAAACAAAAATACAAGGCAAGTGCTACAGCGGTTGGTGCCAAACTTGTCCAGAGTGCGCCTGTATCAAAAAAGATTATAATCAACAGCCGAACAAATGATTGGCAATACTTGTACCTTGGGTACCTCGAGAGCAGAACATCGGAGGTAGGTACCGTAGGCTGATTGCCACTTACCAAGCAGATTCGCTATGTCGCCCAACAGCCATATGATCAGGAAGTTCATGGATAGGCCGTCAGCGCTCTTGGCCTTGTAGTTTGTAATCAGTTGTGGCAGCTGGGGTTGAGGACAACGGTCAGCATTATGATTTAGAATGGCAATGGCAAGCCGTTAGAAAGGGAAAGCAGCAAGATGGACATGCTCACCAAAAGACATATCCAGGCCGTCAAGCTGACACTTCCAAACACTCCCGAGAGTGCCTCGCCCACATCGGGCGCTTTGGAGAGGGCTTCCATGTCGCCCTCTGGTACGGAAATCGGCAAGGCCTCTTGAGATGAAAGCAACAAGAGTGGAAAGTTGAACGGATAACCAGACGTTGATTGCTCCCCAGGCAGGGCCGATTCCTGCTCGAATACCGAAACGGATTGAGTCTAACCCGCGGAATGCAGTCGATGTTGGTGTCTTGATCAGTTCTTGCGCGCACTGGAGAAATAGCCAAATGATGGCAACAGGAACTTAAAAGTACAGTTGCAAGAGAAAAGGGAAAGAGTCATTGTCAGTTCGAGTCAGCGGGCAGGTCTCAGGGCAGGTCGTTATCAAGAGGCGATTGACTCGAGAGATAAGGCAAAGATGTGGCTCTGGCTGATACCGAAAGTGGCATAACGTAGCCATCCAAGTGCCATTTAAAAACTATCACAAGCGTCACCGTTTGTCCCGTGCTGCGGGATTGTAGTATGCAGTGTACCAAGATACGCAGTCCTGCGCCAGCGTAGCATTCATTCAGTTCGCACTTTTTTTTCTGCGGCTTTCGGGCTTTTTTTTCTCTTTCCCTTGTCGCTGTTGGGGTTGGAGGACCTTTCTCTGAGGGACCTTGACGGGAGGCACATGGGCTCATGGGATTGCATCACAAGGAGCCCTCTCGCTCAGCTCTGACCCATCCTGCCCGCGATCCTGCCCTGGTGCTGTAATGGACAAATATGGGGAAGGTGGGGTCTTTGACAAGCTCCGGTAGCCTGAAATGGCCAATCATTCAGCCCGCCGTCCAACCAGTGACGAGCAATTGAAACCTCTTCGTGGATGCCCTCTTTTCGGCGGCACGGGTGGAGACTTTGTGATCATGCCAAGACCAGCACCTCAACCTCAACTTCTCAAGTTGCAAGTCGAGCCTGCGTCCAAAGTGCTGCCGGCGTCGTTCATCACATCGCACATCCGCTCTATCAGACTTGCTGCACTGGTTGCATGGGGTTTCCCGTCAGTAGAGGTGTATAGGTGCTCGTAGATGGAGAAGACGAACGAGAAGAAGGAAAACACGAGAGACTGGGGAGAAACAAGCATTGCCAGCACTCGACAAGCACAAGCCATTCCAAAGATTAAACAACACCAGATATGATAGGCTCACGTGGGATTTATCGCCCCGCGTTCATTCGTTACAGCATCCCCGTAGCAACAACCCCCGCGTGTTTAGTATACACTAGAGGACTCGGAGTTTATTGATCAGCCATGCCTGGTCCAAGCTGATGGCGTCGGTACCAGCGTACCGCAATGGTAGATGGGTTGGTTCCGATGCTAGGGACAGTCATGACGCCGCTGGAAAGGGGCGGTATCAACGCTTATCGCCATCGGACCCTAGGGTGGTGCAGCTGATCGACTGGGGGACATCAAGTGAGCTGAGCGCGTGTTTGGATCTTGAATTGGATCAGACAATCTTTCCACCAAACATTCCCGTCCTCGAGTAAATCATTATCGTTTTCTTGCTGTGGTTTTGTCACCTATTGTTTTTCTCCCGGCAGCGTTGCGAAGCTTGTCCGGTGTATCCGTCACCATCTCTTAACTAGCAGTACAGTAGCGCAAAGACACCACCATGAAGCTATCATCAGTCATACTGAGCTCCTCCGCCTTCTTAGCCGGAGGGGCTTCAGCATGGGGAGGTACGAAAGAACACCAATTCCCCTTCCTTACCATTTCCCCCCCAACATTCGCGAATCGCACTCAAGAAATGGAACATCGCTAACACACGTCGCCCACAACAACAACAGGCTTCGGACACATCACCGTCGCCTACGTCGCCAGCAACTTCGTCTCCAACTCCACCGCCTCCTACTTCCAAACCCTCCTGCGCAACGACACCTCTGACTACCTCGCCAACGTAGCCACCTGGGCCGACTCGATCCGGTACACCAAATGGGGTCGTTGGACCGGGCCCCTGCACTACATCGACGCGAAGGACTCACCCCCCGATTCATGCGGCATCATCTACGAGCGTGACTGCAAGCCCGAAGGTTGCGTGGTCAGCGCCATTCAAAACTACACCTCTCGCGTTTTGGACCAAAGCCTACACGTGGTCGAGCGCGCGCAGGCGGCCAAGTTCGTGATTCACTTTGTCGGGGACATCCACCAGCCGCTGCACACGGAGGACGTGGAGAAGGGGGGGAACGGGATCTCGGTGTTCTTTGATGAGAAGCGGTTCAACCTGCACCATGTTTGGGACTCGAGCATCGCCGAGAAAATCGTTACGCACAAGAAGCAGGGTGTTGGTAGGAGGCCCTTTCCCGCGGCCAAGAAGTGGGCAGATGCGTTGGCGGAGGAGATCAGGGAGGGCCAGTACAAGGCGAATAGCAGTGATTGGGTGAAGGGGTTGGAGCTGAAGGAGGCGAGCGAGATTGCGCTGCAGTGGGCGATTGAGGGGAACGAGCATGTTTGCACTGTTGGTAAGTTCTCTCCATTCGTTCCGTCCCTATACCTCTCTTTCTTGGTATCCGTCAGGGAACCGTTGCTTAACAATGCTTCCTTGACTAGTCCTCCCCGATGGCCCCGAAGCTATCCGCGACCAGGAGCTCGGTGGTGCCTACTTCGAAGCCGCCGCCCCCATCGTCGAGTTGCAGATCGCAAAGGCCGGCTACCGTCTGGCTGCCTGGCTCGATCTCATCGTCTCCGGTATTGAGAAGAACGAGACAATAAGCCCACCAACCCTACCAAAGCGGCCGGACGTTGTTACTGCGGAACAGAAGCCGATGATGTTGGGCGACCTATGAAACAGGCCTGGTGGTGGGTGTTTGTTGTGGGCCTTGGCATTGGAAGAGTATGAATCATGACCGGGGATGAGCGTTTCGCAAATGCTTCTTGGCAACGGTTCGTTGGTTGAAGATATCAGGCTTGGGAATAGATGCAGCGTGTTCTTCAATTGGGTACAGAATTAGACGATTGTATGGCTCAGGGTGCCGGGTAATGTTTGGGTGTCGACTGAGAAGTAGGTGATGCTAATGGATAACGAAATGCATGCCCACGTCTGCAATTGTTCCGTCATGTAGGTCCATGGTATTTTGTGTACAAGTATATGTCTGCCTGCCATGTATGTATGTAAAGTGTACATTAACGTGCCTAAGATACCCTCCGAGCGTCAGGTGCAGGTTTACCAGATCAGATGCCAGATGTTTGGATGAGATTCTCCTTTGCGCACCGAATAAGAATTTGACACGCCCCATTCCCCAAATTAACATCGAACAGTATCATTGACTACCATCCCTCATGCACACATTGGTCAACATTGTCGACTTTCCTGCCAGGTTGGCCAAACATTTCGCTGGTCCTCGGTAGCCATGTTTCGTTCTGATGATCTTCCGTTCAGCCAAGCGATTACCCTACTTGAAAAGGGACTGAAGTCCTCGTTAGAGTACAACGACAATCACGTTGTATCAAGTCCGACGCATGGAGCCAAGCACCCGACACATATCTTGGGGTTCAGGGGTTCCAAGGTGGGTTTCTTCAAAGACAACCACCAACAGCATGACAAACCGAATCGGGTATCCCGTTAAGGCTAGAAAACAATGAGGAAGGGCGGCCGTTCCGCTGGTGGCTGATGTTATCATCACGTCTGTGGTTAATCAGAGAAGCAACATCCAAATGCCAGCATCACGTTTGAAACAGTTGGGGGTTGATTGGGTACGCTGCACAACATCGGCTCGGTATCGGAATCACAATTCCAGGAGGTCTTCGAAGGTGGATTCCGATGCTCATCGATCATCATCACAAACACAACGGTCACAAGGATGTAAAAAGCTCGCTTCCACGTGAGAGTACCGAAAACTGACTGTCAAAGTCCCACTCGGCCTGAGTGTGTAGTATTGAAACGCTATGAATAAGAGGATGGGGTTTTGGCAGTGAAAATCATTGTTACCCTCTGGACCCTGGGGACACAACATGTCTCAAGATGAACAAGGGCCGAGTTACATCCTTGGTGCGAATCGGTCTTGGCCAGAGTTCATATAGATGCGGGCGGACAGTATTATGTTTCGAATTGCGAGGTTAATAGTTGCCCAAAGGTAATTGTCAGCAGCACAGACAGTCAATGTGTAGGTTTTCAACTGAAGAAAAGATTAAAATTGACGATCTCATTCCTCAAATTGATATTTTGTGCCGTCTTAACCGTGCTGTCGGGTGAGGAGCACGCGTGGGCGCTACCTCAGACATCAGCGGCGCACTGTTTCCAATGAAGAAATAAGCCCATGGAACTGATGCGGTCTGAGAGTTTGCCTTGACCTCGAGTGGCCTCTTTAGAACGGACGAGAGGGGAACTTCATTTTGTGGTAAAGAGAAATGATGTGTGGAGAAATTATGCTGGATTTGGCGGTAGGCTTGCCGTCTCCTACTCCTGAGTCCGGAAACATATCAAGCCCATTTGCTCCTATCATGATATGGTGAGGACAACGAACAATGCGACGGATTTCTGTTGAGGTTGTTGACGGCCGGTGGGGGATCAAGCGGAGTCCGGCCGGATGGGAGGGGAGGGAAACGATGTCCCTTCCATCCTTCCCTTGTTCTACACTATAATCGGAATTAAGCTCTTGTTCCTGCATACGGAGGCGTCCACAGCTAGGGACGCTAGCCCAAAAAAAGTGGGGCACCCTCAGTGTACAAGCGCCAAGGGGGCCTGTCAAGGACAACCTCAAGCGCTGAACAGTAGACATTGAGCGTGGCTATGTAGTACAGTTAATCCAGATCACCACTCGATGAGCTGATCTCATCGAGGCCCACCGTGTTTCTTCCCGGACTGGGTGCCTTAGGTGACTAGACGAAGCAGTTAGACGGGACAGCATGACGTCGATGTTTACTCGATTGATCAAATCATAGAACGCCTCTGGGAGTAAAGTGTTGCTTGAAGGTCCGCTCATCGTAGCTGTAGAGTATGGCAGAGTGCTAAGGGTCATCATCATATTTTGTTGACTAATAAGTAGAGAAGTCCCATCTTCTGCGGACGGGGTGAAAGGGATGAGATGGCGATAAGTAGTCCTACACGAAGTTTCCGTACCGGCGACCAAAAAATGCCGAATGCCGGGCAAGGCCGGCAACAATGCGGAGATAGAAATATCGGATATCGACTACAATCCGGGTCGGCCAAGACCAAACACTGCTGGTTCGTCCGGTCTCGTTAGGCGTGTTTTGTTTCGTACGAGTCCCTACACCAGTTCTTCGCGATGCAGGAGCGTCCACCAGGAGTCTTTGACTGGTTTTGCCTTGGCCCAATACAGAATTGATGCGCAGGGCATTCGGGTATCAGTTGTTATAGACAAATATCCGTACCTTTTGTTGTGTCAATACTGCATGTCCCTGGTAGATATGTGGGGAACTCCTTGCCCAGGTAGAAGCGGGTTGTGCTGGCACGGATAGGGACGGGAAGAGAGTGAAGAGAGGTCAAAGTTGAAGTTTAGGTACTGTAGTGTTGTTGCAGTCTCTCGGCCCGGCATGGCATTGAACTTCTTTGCCTTGGGAGTGGAGCGGGTGCGCGCTAGCGCCTCGCTAGCGCTTCATCCCGAGACGCCAAATGCTGGATCGCCCTCTACCGGCTCGTGTGATTGGCTAAAGGCAAGACAATTATTAGGACCCTCGTCGCTTCTGGCACGCAAGTCGCTTCATCAACCTCTCTTCCACTGCATACTCTCGAGCCTCTTTGCTTTTCTCCCCAAACACTCGTCAATGTTACTCCGAGTCCGTCATTTGCAACTGAAATGATTCGTTCGAAAGCGTCGATAGCATTTACTCTCTGCGTTACGGGCTTCATTTGAGATGCACATCCACTTTCCTGCCTGCTGTGAACGGCCATCGTGGACTCGTATTGGGCTGTAGAGATCTCAATCAAGCGCGATATCTGGCGTCAATCACCACGGAATCCTCGGTCCTTTTGGGGAGAGGCTTTTACGCCAAGTGCAAGACCCCATGGGGTATATCCTAGAGCTATCCATGGATGTCTATGCAGTCAGTTTGACCTTTGGCAGCCCCTTTCCATGCTACATTTCACTCTACTGCTACCTCCTTTGACAAGTTCGGCGCAGACGCCCTCTTCTTGCGATACCCTTGTATCACGTTTGAGATCGTGGAGACACACAACCCCCAAACCCCTCTCCGTCCGTTCCGACCTCCTGCTGCTCGATCCAGGATGCGATTTAGTACTGGTTCCACGGTCAGAGAACGGCTATAGAGAAAGCTCGGTTGAGAGACCGGGGGAGGGTTACACAAGACAGATTCCTACCCTGGCCGGCACCCTGTCGTAGTCTCGTGGAACAAACTTCTTGGCTAGCCAGGAAATAAGAAACGATGACCATGGGTTGGTGCCTCAGCATGCCCAGCTTTCTATATTACATCTCCCTCTCTCCCTTCTCTTCCTTTGCACGCTCTATTTTTGCTTGTTGTGGTGGTAGCGTGTTTCTTTCATTCGTTCCTTTTCGACGCACGTTGTATATACCCAATTAGCCGACACCGGGTGTCAGTTAATCCTTCTCTTCTTGCAGTCAGCTTTGATATTACGGTCTGGAACCATTTTTGACGCTTTACGTCTTACGCTTTACTTCGACTCCCGTACGCTCCAGGTGCCTGGTTATATCATCCCGCATATCCTTACCGAATCCGAGATTTCGCGGCGAAGCTTCAATATCAACTATCAACATGCTGATGAAGACTGCTTTTACTGCCCTCTTGGGCTTGGCCATGGTCACCGACGCAGCCATTGTTCCCAACACCGACTTCTCGTCACTCGAGCAAAGGCAGAACCGTAACGGTAGATTTGGTGGAAACCGCAACCAGGGTGGGAATACGGGAAACAATGCCAACAAGGGAGGCAATAACCAACAAGCTAATACCTGTCTGGCTCCGGGTGCCATTCAGACGGGTTCTGCATCGACGGGTCAGAGCGGTGCTGGGGCGGCAGATGGCCAGGTCAACTCCAAGACGTGCGTTAAAGGCAATATCATGAATTCTGCGATGTTCTCACTGACTTTGCAACAGCGACAAAGCCAACTTCATCAATTTCTGTAATGGCCAGACCTTGACGAACGGTCAACAAATTAAGACTGGTTCCTGCAACGGCATTCGTACGTGGACTATCTAGAGACATATCAAGACACCCACTAACAGTTTGCAGCCATGGGCAAAATTCCTTCCACCGACCGGATGATTTCCGCCGTTATCCTCAACCCCAAGAACAACGACAATATCCAGGCCAGCAAGACCTTCACCATCCAGGTCAAGTTGAATAACATTGCGCTGGGTTCTTTTACCAACGCTACCAGCACTTATTACTCAGCTCCTCAGGACGTCGACGGCTCTGGTAGGGTTATTGGTCACACCCACGTCACGGTTCAGAACACGGGGAACACATTGAACCCCACAGAGCCGCTCGATGCTCGACAGTTCGCCTTCTTCAAGGGCATTAATGATGCCGGCAACGGAGCTGGTACTCTGTCGACCGACGTGACGGGAGGTCTCCCCGCGGGCAACTATCGTATCTGTACCATGACCTCGGCATCCAACCATCAGCCTGTTCTTATGCCTGTTGCGCAGAGAGGTGCCCAGGATGATTGCCGGTACTTTACCGTTTCCAACAACGGCGGCGGCGGCGGCGGCGGCGGCGGCAACAACAACAACAACAACAACGGTGGCAACAACGCCAATAAGAACAACAACAGCAACAACAAGAACGCGGGTAGCAACAATACTGGCGGCCGGAATAGGAACTCGGGCAAAAACGTCGCCACTAGCCAAGCCATCGCCGGCATATCCGCCCCGGCCGTCACCAACACAGGCAACTCTCAGCGTCCCTTCGCCGTCAACGGAGCGACCTTTGTCAACAAGGCCGCCGCCGTCCAGCGCGCCTGC